CGGCTATAATACTTTTTCCTGGCTGTTCTGGAATTTGCTTGAAAGCTAGGAACACAGAACAAACTTCGCTCTATCTACGGCAACCAGTTTTAGAATGTCGTAGCGTTATGATTTTAACAGTGGTCGATTTGGATATATGCATGAGTCCGCTGTTTTTCTTCATCCATTCTGCGCGAAAGAAAGTGATAGCATGCTTCTTGATCCGTCTAGAGTCATGACATTCCACTAGGAACATTTTCCACAAAAAAGCAAAACGAAAATGCGGAGGCCTGCGAACCCGAGAACCGAACCCGCGTCCCCTGTCTCGGGGCTGAACCGCCGCCTTAGACCACTAAACCACGCCCCGACAACCCCTCCCGTGCGCGCTCTGAAAGGCCGTGGCAGACAAGAAACCGTTGAAAAGTTCGGCGAAGAACCTCGAAACCATTGGCGCGTTTGCAGCAGTTAGGGAACCAGGTCGAAAGGAGCCAGCGAAGAAGGGCAGACGAGAAAGCTAGAATGTTGTAGTGGCTGGTGAAGAAAACGTGAATTTTAAAAGCTTCCTGTAAAATGAAGCTGAAGCCGTGGTCGGGGCCTGAAAAAGCGCCCCTGAATCTTCGCATTTTAAGGCTTTGTCTTCCAAGGATTCGCCTTCTGTTTGAAGAACCTTTTACTTACCTTTTTATTTAGTTCTTTATTTAAACTAATTAGTTAAAAAAACTTAATTTTTAATATCGAAGATTTTCACCATGCTAAAGCTTTGTTGAACTGCCGCGATGCCTAGGTGTTGTTTGGCATGCCGTGTAGCCACTTTCACGAAATCGGCCAAACTCGGCCGCGTTTATCCTTTTCGTTTTGAGTTTCCTTTTAACGATTTGAATTAACGAATAAAAGTAATTTCTTTGCTTTCAGAGATGGGCAAGCATGAGAAGGGCACGCCGAAGGAAATCGCCAACCGCTCCAAGATCAAGGGCATGCAGAAATTGAAATTGTAAGTTGTCGCCAACTTATTCTTACATACCTTTCTAGTTACTGCGAAATGTGTCAAAAACAATGCCGCGACGCCAACGGCTTCAAGTGCCATCTGACCAGCGAGGCGCATCAGCGACAACTGCTGCTGTTTGCCGAAAACTCAGACCGGTACATCAGCGAGTTCAGCGGCGAATTTTTACGGGGATTCATGCAGGTGCCTTTTGAAGCGGATGCTTTTTGATTGACTGGAATGGCGTGAAAATACATATATTATTTTTAGATTCTAAAAAGTCAATACGGGACGCGACGCGTGCGTGCCAATGAAGTCTACCAGTCCTACATCAAGGACCGAAATCACATTCACATGAACTCGACGATGTGGCATACATTGACCGGTCTCGTACAATGGCTAGGGAACAAGGAGAAGTGCAAAATCGACCTTGGGGATAAAGGTAAAACTCGGTTTTTTCGCATAATTGGGAAACGGGCAAATTTTCTAGGCTACATTTTTTTTAATACCAACTGTTCTTTAAACAACGTGATCTTTTTGGGGCACCCTGTCAATAGCGGAGTTTTCTAAGCTCTCCTAAGCATAAAACTTTGCAAATTTCGCATTAAAAATAAGAAGATAGACAAAAAAGATAGATTTCTCGACCGAAAATGGCCTTTTGTCCCAATTCGACTTTTTGAAAGCGTTTAGTTGGTTTTTCGAGTTGAACTATAGCTTTCTGTTACTAAAAACGTCATAATATACTTCCTCTTATGGCTTTTTTTTTGGTTAAGACTTGGTATATTTTTTTGCGTTTATCAATAGTAAAAATAGTTTAGAAACGGTTTTGCTAAATATATATACGATCAATGCGACCCTAAAACTTGAAGTTTCCGGTCCCGAAAAACTCATTTTCCCCGACAAAGTCTTCATTTCCAGGCTGGTACATCCAATACATCGACCACGAGTCGGAGAACCGGAAGCAAGACGAGGAAAAGAAAGTGAAACAAGAGCTGGACGATGAGCAGAAGCAGCAGGACATCATCGAGGCCCAAATTAATCGGTTGGTGGCTTTATAGAGTTGCAATTGCTGTTTTCCAGCGCTCGCGAGGTCCATGGCGAGCAGGAGTACACGGAGAGCACCGAGTTGGTCCGCAATGAGGACGAGAAGATCGAGCTGGCCCTGAACTTGAATAAGAAGCCGACGTTAGAGGTAGATTTTCGGAAATGCTACGTTTTGTATCACTTTTTGTTATTTTTTCACGGCAGGAGACTGTATTTACAAAATCTATTTGCGATGTTTCGGAGTCACTACGTTTAGTATAATGGAAATTTGTAAGGTTTTCACTAGAAAAAAATACAAAGTTGAGTGACTTCCAATTCGCTAGAAGTTTTCCCGCGTACTATAATTTAATTTGTTGCTTATACACTGCGAAAGACAGTAATTATAACGTTTAGTCGCTCACGTTTCAACTTTTCCTACGGTTATTATAATCTAATTTTTTTATTTAGGCCCTGCAAAAGCCCTTCGTTCAACTCGGCGCCAACGCGCTGGAGCGAGCGCGCGTGAAAAAGGAGCAGCCCGAAGACCGATGGGGGCGGCGGAGGAGCCGCAGCAGAAGCCGCAGTCCGCATGGTAGAATTTTTCATATTTTGCAATTTAGTTAATTTTTAGGCCCTTCCACATCCCGGGGCAAGGAGCGGACCAAGAAATCGGCGTTGGACGAGATCAAGGAAATGGAGGTGAACAATTGGAATGATTTTGCAATAAAACTTTCCAAGCGCTAAACTGAACTGCATTAACGGGGCGACCAACTTTTTCATAGGACCCAATTCCAATTCACTTGTAAATAGCGAAAATGTTTTGTAAGCTTTCTTGATTCTTAGATCTACAAATTTTACAGTGCTAAAAATCCAAAAGTATCGATTTTTTTCAACCTAAACGGGCCCTTTTTGACCAAAGTCTCGACTTTTTGAAAGTTTTTAGATAGTTTTCTAATAAAATGTGCTGTCATTTGACTGAAAGCGCTATGAAACTATTAAGTATGAAATGACGACGCCCTTCTAAGCGTGTACAGAAAAAAAATTAGGTTCCCTCTCGAGTAATTCAAAAGATCCGCTTTATTCGCTACGTTTCCCTTTCGCGCATAATAGCAATTTTATACTTTAGCGTACACTAATAATGATATATATTTAATATTTCAGGAGCGCCGAAAGGAGAAAGCAAATCGCAAGGACTATTGGCTGTGCCCGGGGATTGTCGTCAAGGTATAGAATGCTCCTTATTTTTTTGCATACCTCCCTTCTTAGATTGTGACGAAAAAATTGGGTGAAGATTATTACAAGGCGAAGGGGACGGTGAGGGAGCTCGTCGACGACTACACGGCCAAGGTGAAGGTGGATGATGGTGGGATTTTGGTGCCTTTTCCGTGACGTTTGTTTTAGTCGTTCTAAAGCTGGACCAGGCGCACGTGGAGACGGTGATTCCGCAAGTGGGCCGTGAGATGATGATCGTCAACGGCGCGTATCGAGGCTCGAAGGTGCGGCGATTTTTGCGGTTGTAATTTTGTGAAGTGGTAGTTAGACGTTGTATTGAAGGGTAGTTCATCCAGGCCAGATTTTTGCCCTGATTCCGAATCTGTAGTCAGTTTTTACCCTTCCCTTATGTTCACCGAGATACGAAGTCCGAATTTCGGTTCAGAACGGCGCCGATGTCAAAACTGTTCCGTTTTCGGTCCTAACTGGCCGATTTCGCCCAACCTTTCAACTTTTTAAAGATTTTCGAATTTTTTAGGTTTAGGTTTTAGGTTTTTAGGTAGTTTTTCGTTTGAAATATAGTGACATTTTACTAAAAACACAATCAAAGGCTTGCTGCCGCTAACCTTGTAACAATTTTTATTTCATTTTCTCGGTAGTTTTTCGCTTGGAGTATAGTAGCAAATGCGTGATATCACGCGCCTTACTAGACATAGAAACCTATTTAAAAATTGATTCGGTTCCCTGGCGATGCGAACGAACGGGGGTCTCTTAAATTTTTTAGCGGAACGACAAATCTTTCCTTTTCAGGCCACTCTACTCGAAATCGACCAAGAAGCCTTCGCCGTCCACCTCAAGCTGTCCAGCGGCCTGTGTAAGGGACGCGAGATCACGGTGCCCTATGAAGATGCCTCAAAACTCGCCGCCTAATTCCCCTCACTATTGTCTGTCTATTACTTGCGGGTCATTTTCGCTGTTTTACCTTTTCGAGATACTAGTATGAAATAAAAGTTTCATTTCGTTACAACCTGTCTTATTTGCTGCAGGCAAAATTCGTGCGAAGATGCCAAACCCTTTAGCGTAGAAAACCCTACAACCCGGGAAAGAAGTATGCGGAATGGCCGCACAGTTAAAGTTAGTTAGGCTAAAGCACGGAACAGTTAAAGCATTCATAACAAATCTTTTCAGGGGGAAATCAAACAATCATTAGAAATACATTGCAAAGAAATTCCGTCTTGCTTACACAAAAAATTACATTTCAAAAATTCCATCAACAGCGTCGCGTTATTTCAAAAGCTAAAATTTCCAAAGCCGTTTGTTTGCTTTTTACGAAATGATAAAAAATGGAGAACACATCTCGACTAGCTTATCACAGAGCTTTTGGTAGATATATAAATCAAAATAAACCGGGTGACTACGGGGTTTTTTTGACAGGCTGTAGAGCTTCTTGCTGGGGTCGTCGCTTTTGCCCTCGCCCGCTGCATCTGCTGCCATTCCGTGGGTCGCCTTCGCTCATCGTCGTAACCGGAAAAAATATGGGCGGCGAAGTAACTCGTTCGCTAACTAACCGCTATTAGTCGAATCCCCATGGGTGCCCTGAAGGGGAAAGTGACACTTAGACAACGACATTTCAGAAATTCGCCCAACACAAAAATCCGCAACAAGCCCGATTGCAGAGCGCCAGTTGTGTAGCTCTTCCCTTCGAATCGATCTGGCTCTGTAACTATCCGTCTCTGTATGTCGGTTTATGTTTCCGAAACGTAGGATACTGTAGAAATGCGTCGCGGTTTCGTCAATTTATTCACGCATTGTACATGAGGAAGTTGTGCTCCACGTAAGGTTCAAATGAATTCAAATGAGGTCCGAATGACGTCCGGATCAGGAAATGGTTCATCAGCAGCATGGCTAAAGATGATTGCATTTGGCAATTTAGATTTTGACTCGGCGCACAAAACGTAATCCAGTAAATTCGAATGTTTTAAAGGGTTGGTATCAGGTTGGACCGAAAGCCTTTACAATCCGTCTTCAGATGAGAAGATAACAATTTTTTTTATACCCACTTTTGCTGGCCGTCTTGCAGCGGTAGATCTTTCCAGTCACTGGGCGACCCTGAAAATTATATTCTGAGCCCTTTGGCATCAACGGGGGCAAACTCTTTTTCTAAGGATCCAATTTTTCAAATATAAATAGAGTCGGTGGTTCTAAAAAGTTTTTACCTTTTGTAAACGCAAAAACTTTGGAAATTTTGAATAAAAACGCAAAAATATTGATTTTCGACCGAAAATGATCGGTTTTCGACCAAAATTTCAACTAAAAACTTTTTAAGGTTTTCTTAATTGTTTTTGGGCTTAAAATATAAGTAAGTTGTATTAAAACATTATTAAAACGCTTACGATTAGGTTGCTAGCCATTTCTGGACGTAGGGGAAAAGAATTATCGATCGATCTCGATCATCCCCTTCCCCCCAAACGAACCGGCCAGCGCTTCCGAAAGAATAGCTTCGTCTTCTTCGCATCTGGGGAGGTATCGGGTATCGATTCGATATCGCTGCACGCATGGCGTAACATTTCCTCCAACTAAAGATCTCAGAAATTTTTGGGCTTTCACAACATAATCCAAAAAACCACGTGCCAGTATCGTCGATTTTTCAAAATTTCCGAATTTCCCAAAAAATTTGATTGAGCGGCTCAGGAGCTATAGAGAAAAAATCTGGACACCATGGCAAGGCTAGTTTTTTTGCAAAATCTAGCCGGAAGGCCAAAATATCTGAGTTTGAAAATCCAAACTTGAGCAAAAATCTCTTTAACAAAGGAAGTGCACGAACTTAAGGTGGGCTTTCTTTTTCAAGATAAGTGGGTCTGATAGAGTCGAACACGGGTATTCCGAAGCTGCAATCAGAATTTGCTAAACGAAACGGAGAAAAAAGTTATGAGGCTTCAAAGTTGGCAAAATCGGCAAAAACGGTACCTTTAGCGGCCTGTAAAAGGCGCGGAAGCGGAATTGTGCAAAAACTGATTGGTGCATCTTGTTCAGCAGAAAAAGCTCTTTCGAATGAGCTATCATTCAAAAAGTATACGATAATTTCGCGGAAATCTCTTCGAGGACCTCCACAGGCTCTACACTTACCTGTGAATTAAAAAGAAGCTTTTTCACAAATTATCTGTAATTGCTACATATTAAAGCTCATTCGAAAGAGCTTTTTCTGCTGAACAAGAGGCACCAATCAGTTTTTGCTCAATTCCGCTTCCGCGCTTTTTACAGGACGCTAAAGGTACCGTTTTTGTCGATTTTGCCAACTTTGAAGCCTCATAACTTTTTTCTCCGTTTCGTTTAGCAAATTCTGATTACAGATTCGAAATCCCCGTGTTTGACTCTATCAGACCCACTTATCTTGAAAAAGGAATGCCACCTTAACTTCGTGCACTTCCCTTGTAAGACTCAAACAACTTTTTATAGAGGGGGAGTTGCGCCATAAATATTTAAGCCTCATTTTTATTTTCAATTTTCTCTTCCGATGTTAGCGGGGGTACCGGGGTTTTATGGTATTAGTATTCAAACAGAGTTGAACAGCCGCTTCGCTACTTTTCAATCCTGGCCCCGTTTGGGTCCAATGAAAGTTTACACTTTGCATAATTCCACCCGACTCACGCTGAAAAAAGTGAAGCATACGCTCTCGCTCTTTTAAATAAGCTACCGCCACTTCCGGTGTATGCTAATTGATTCCTAACAAAGAGGGTTTTGGATTTTTCAAGAAAAATTAAAATTGAACATCGAAAATAAACGATTTTGGTAAATCTGATAGGGGTGCAGTCATCTCCAGATCATTACGCACCTATTACGTATCAAAAATGCCCCTAACTACTCTCCTTCCTGAGATACTGCTGGAACACGCTGACGGAAGTTGCATGCAAAGTGGCACACACACAAACACTAATTTTTTATATATAGTCGGATATCGAAAACAGCTGATTTTAAGAATCTCGTATGTGTGCAGTCGTGTCATGTCCGTTACGCACCTAACGACGTATCATACGTACTTTTAACTTCCTCTCCTATTGAGATACGACTGGAACATACGGACGGAAGTTGCATGCAAATGCACACACACGCACACACACAAACACTATTTTTTAATAGTAGTAAGTAGGATAGTAGAGTCGCTTGCCAACCTTTGTCCCAACCGCTTTATCGGGATCCGGGCCGTTAATGCAGTCCATCCGGAATTGACTGATCATCCAATAATGCCGTCCGGCCGTCTGTCCCTGATCGATGACTGCCTAAAATCGTATTTTACGGGCAATAGCCGTTTCAAGGTTCAACATTTTCAAAACTCTTGAAACTATTAACCAACCCGAATGATCCCCGGCAATGATTGATAGTATAGCCCGTTAAGCTGGACCTCTCGTGTGTGCACAGAGCTACGTCCGGGACCTGCCAGCATTTCTTCCAGTAATGCTAGTTTCTCGGCCATAATATCGCTCTTGGAGAATCCTAAATATTTTTTTGGAGCTTAGCCTGGCGGACCCGTGTCACTCCGTCCGACACCGTTCCACAAGCAAACTTACGGGCAAAAATTGGAAGGGGTATATGTAGGCAAAAGAGACATGCTTTTTTCAATATTGTCGTTATTTTCGCGGGATCTTTGCAACGGCATTCGATAGAGCATCAAAAAATATCCTCAGAGTTTTTGTTTTAGCTCAAAGTATTTGTAATATAAAAAAGCTATGGTAAAAATAAAAATAAACTTTCAAAATCGGGTTGCGCAGCTGTTTTTCGACATTCTCGCTATGTTTTCGACACTTAAAGACGCCATTCTATAGAGCATCCAAAATATACTGGGAGGGGTGATAGTTCATTACCGATAAACCCGCAGAATAACAAAAAAAGGAGAAGCGTTCCAAGGAAATGGCGAAAGTTTCGAACGCCCTAAAAACCGAAATTCGATCCGATTTTGGAAATTAAAAGACGTAGAATGTTCTTCTTGACGTGCTCGATCAAATGCCGTGTTTGAAATTTTGAAAAACCCCCGCCTAATTGGCTCAATTTAACCTATCGGGAAGAATTTGCCCAACCCTTTCGCTGCCGCTGGCGGCCCAGGCGTGTTTGTGGCCCTGGCTAACGCTGGGTCTTTGGTATCATTCGAACCGTAAACTTCTGTTTTGCAATGATTGATACCGAGTTTTCAATATTAAGTCGGTTTCAGAAAGTTATAAGAACTTCAACTTTTTCGCTCGCGATACCGCCAGTTCCTATGGACACTTTCTCTTCGAAATTGCGCCTGTTTGAGGTAAAAGAATCGCCATTTCCCAAAACAACCAAGACACCAAGGCAACGTACCGCTGTTAGCCCATCCTCTTCGAAGAACAGATGAGCCTGAAAAATTGACTGGTAGTTGGCAGTGTTTGGCAGCAATCACGGTTGAAAACAGCAATTGCTTCAAATGCGTTTATGGAATGGTGTCCTCAAAATATGAAAGATAGCGAAAATATGGAAATCTGGATTTTCAACCCATTTTTCAAAGGTTATTTTTGCTTCGGCTACGATTCAGTTTGCTCCCCCCGCGCCCAGCTCTTCAGCCATAAGTCCTATTAAAGGGCTAGTTCAGCCAATAAAACAAAAGAATTTCCGTGGCCAGGAGTCGAACCCTCCCTGCGTTTTTGTGTCTGTGCCTCTCTCATTTCTCCGATCTCTAATAGCTGCCGTAATGGGGGACTGTTCGGGCGCACTGTGCCTACGTCCATAGTTTCCCAAGGTACCAGCCCAAGCTCCAAAAGTTGAACTAGCCCTTTAATGCACCGAGTATCTGAAAATGTTCGCCGTGGTTGAAAACCTATAAAAAAGTTGTTTACTTACGTGAAACATTGCTAGCAAAAATTTTTACAGGCATTTAAAAGTTGCAAAGATTAAGCGGCGATCGTACAGTTACCCCGTGTTTCTAACTCAAATATTCTGTTTTTCGATGTTTTTCGACTCAAACGTATCGTAGACCGATTCTACAGATCAAGCACGACATTTTGGTACTCTTGCCAAATCTGTACGTCCAAGAATGGCCGAGATCCGAGACTTATAATTGTTATAAAAATTTTCTAACAATTTTTGATGTAAGGAAACAATTTTTTTGCTTAGTTTTCGATCACGGGGAACATTTTGAGATGCTCCACGCCTTAATAGGACGTATGGCTGAAAAATTGGGCTGGGGAATAAACCGAGGTACAACCTTTGTTTTTCTAAATATAACGTTGGCATAGGACAATTTTTTGAGCTGTTCTGTAATAGCATCGCTCGGCGTTTAAACAATCATGAAAATAGCGAATCGTTGAAAATTATGAGACTGCGAGGATAGGGGTGAGGAAACCCGTTTTTCCGAAGCTTTAAACAAGGCATAGTCTGCCATTCCCGAAAACCGCCCTGAACTTGCCTTGTTGAGCAACATTGTCTCTGCCATCAGATGGAGGTTTGCCCTTAGCTTTTGAAAAGTCTGTGCGCAATCCAGCAGCAACGTAATGCTGTTTGCTGCGGCGACGCATTGAGCAAGAGATTCGATCTGAAAACCACGCGTTTGCCTAAAAACATCAAATTTATTGTACAAAAACTAAAAATAGAGAGGCTGCATTCATCAATCGTTAAATAGGTAATTGCTAATATTGCTTAAAAATCGCTTAAAGGGCACGTTCAGGGGCGTTTTTTTGGAAAAAAGCAAAGAGCTTTGCCGCAGCCGGGGGTCGAACCCGGGCCGCCGCTCGGGAGGCGCGGATGGATACCAGTCAGCCACAGCTACAACCTGGCGAGGGGGTGAGGGGCGCCCCTCGCCGCAAAGGAGGGGAATGGCCTCCCACGGCACGGGCAGGCCGTGCGCGCGGTCCCTACGTCCATAGCGTGTACACGTTGCGACGAGTACACGACCCCGCCCTGAACGTGCGCTTTAAAGTTAGCATATCGTAAAGAATTGTTTTTCAGCAACTTACGTGAGTGATTTCAAGACGTTCTGCGGTGATAGCGTGCCGTGGGAGTGCCATCCGTTCGGCGAAATACTTAATGGCTAGGTATAATAGTCTTAGAATTGGCTTCCAGCGCCTTCTGCGCAGCATCAAAATACAGTGTCCCAAAAACCCCTCGGCATTTGTACGTCTTCGATCCCATCGGAACCAAATTTTTACCAGCGATAGGGACTCATAAAAACTATACGTGCAGCCGAATTTTCGAAGCAAAATATTGTAAAACAAGAAAGTTATAGAATTACGACTTTAATTTTGACCTCTAAATGTTTAGCAAAAACGAAGAGAGCACTTTTTCCACCCGGAGAAACTTTTTGATTTACGAAAATTACGTCTAAAGTTGAACTTTTATAATTTGTTATTATGAACATTGGCTGATAACGACATAAAAATGGTTGTTTTTGGCAAGTTACTCAAAATCTGCATGCGAATTGCGAAAACATAGCCAAAGTAAGACCAACTGTCCGGAAAAATCCGTTTATGGGGTCCCAACAGGGCCGAAATTTCGGGGGGGGGGAGGACCGAAAAAATTTTTGACGACCTCCCCCGGTCGACGCTTTTGTAAAATGGCGGAGAAACGGTGTAAAAACTCTAAAAACAGCGTCGCAGGCGAAATTTTTGCAAAATTGGTTAATAAACACCCTGGGATTGAGCCAAATCGCGGCAAAAATGCACTTTTGAACCGAAATTGCGATTCAATGAATGAAAAAATGAGCGCCGCAGGCAAAAAATTTTCAAAAATGGTGTTTCTAACACTAAAAACCGACTTGCGAACAGCTATAAAAAGCGCCGCAGGCAGAAAAATTTTCCGGAAAAAGATCATAAGGGTCCCCTTATGAACTTTTCGGGCGATTGCTGGGCGGGGGGGGGGGCGGCTCGCCTGGGGCGGCCTGAGAGCGCCCCAGGCAGCAAACTTAGCGAAAATTGCGATAAATTTACTGAAAAAACAGCGCCGCAGGCTGAAATTTTTGAAAAACGGTGCCTATAGGATAAAAAAATGGTGTTAAAGAGCGAGGAAAAAGGCGCCGCAGGCAAAAATTTTTTGAAAAAAACTGTTTATATTATAAAAATAAATAGCGTTTAAAAGGCCGTTTGCGAGCCACCCGAACAAGGCTTGGCACAGTTTTTTTTTCGAATTTTTTTGCGTAAAAAATCTAAAGGGACTTATGCGCTTTCCGGACTCGGTCGATTTTGGGTGGAGGTCTATTTCTCCTCACTCTTTATTCTTGTCGAGGGTGCCGTGATCAGGCAAGCCCTCTGCCGCGCTAAGATACCGTTAGTAACCGGAATAAAGTGCTTTAGCAATACGGGTTTTCTGCTTTACCTCGCCCTGTATTCTCCCTACTCTGGGCTTTCTATCGCTATATCAATCATCCCGATCCGTTATTTCTCCATGGAGTTACCGCCGTATCATTATTTCCTATTTTGGGCCTTTTCTCCAAATATTAGCCCATTAATGGTGCCAAAATAATCTCCTAACAACACCCAACCCCATCTGCCACCCTAACATTAGTGCCAAAAAAATGCGGGAAAATTCAAACTTCTACATTACCTGCCCATGGGGCCCATACATGGGGGCAGCAAAAATGGCGAAAAAAAACATAAGGGTACTACCTTATGTACTTTTCGGCCCCCCGAGGATTTCGGGGGGCAGGCTGCCCCCCCTGCCCCCCCCCTCGTACGGGCCTGGGTCCCAACGCTGGTAAAAATTTGGATAGAACCGGAGAGAATACGGCCAAATGCCGAGGGGTTTTTTGGCACACCCTGTAGATAGCTACCGTTTCATACTTCAGCGGAAACCGAAACCTGGCGATGCGAGGGTGCCGAATTTTGGCGAGGAAGGGGAAGAACCGCGTCAGACTAACGGTTGGGCGCGGCAATTCTAGGCGACACCTAAATTACTTGCATTGTCGACTCCTCATCATTCCTTCTAAAATCAATGCTTCTAAGGATCCTTACTTCCAAAAGTACTTCTAACACGGAGCTTTCACATTATCAGGGGCGGGGGACCAACTTTTTAGATACCAATTATTTTAAATCAATAGATCAAGTCTTTCTAAACTGTTTTTTACGATTCCTAAGCGTGAAAACTTTACAAACTATATTCACACCTACAAAAATATCGATTTTTTTGCCCAGAAAATTTCGACCAAAATCTCAGTTAAGATTTTAGATATTTTTTTCACTGGTAATATAGCAAAATTTTTACTAAAGACGCTGTCAAAAAATTTAAATATAGCAAAATTTTAGAATTAATGATTTTTAGGTAAAGATTTTTAGAAGTCATGACTTCTAGAAGTAATGATCGTCGGGGTCAAAAGGGTTGTTTTTGAGCTAGTCAGGTAACACTACGTTATGCAAAAAAAAACCTTGTTTGGGCTTCTGTCCATTTTCTCACGTTCACTTCAGCGATCGACAGCTCCCTAAAAGCGACGATAAACACTAGGGAATTTCTGACTTTTCTGTAATAACCATCAAAGGATGATAATTGGCGAACTGAACGGCTGTGCCAAAGTTGTCTTGTATCCGGATCGACAATTCGGCCACGATCATCTGGAATTCTCAAGTTATATGTTTTATTATGTTTTGGTATTTTGTCGAAATATAAAATACAGCCCTTCGCCAAATGCAACACAATCACAAGGGAAATTTGCTTTGTAATAAACTAATAAAAACGGCTCACCTCGGAACTACCTCCAGGTCGATTTTCGGCAGCGTTCACCATTTTTCCGCAAATGTAAAAATCGGCAACGCGTCCGGGAAATAGACCCCCCTGCATCAGCCGATTACTGAACTATTTTTTTACGAATCAACCGGTAAAATTCGCGGAAAGCGTCAAAAACTTTTTCTCAAATATGCATTCAGGAGCCAAAAACTCAAAAAAGCGAAGTTTATGCGGGACACTGAAATTTACAATTTGACATTTTTCAGCGATTTTAAGTGTCCTACAGCGAAAAAAAGCCCAGGGGTATTTTACACCCAATTATTCCATTTCCATTTTGGTCAAAATCCGGCCATTTTACACCCAATTTTCAAGAATTTAGTCGCTCCGAAAAATACAAGCCCCCCCCTTCAATTATAACCCCTCCCCCCTCTAACAAAACCCCCGCCCCTGGGGTGGTTGACAAAATCTAACCCCGGGGCTATATTAGAGGAAATACGGTATATTGTCTTTAGCATACGCTATACTTACCGAAGTTTTCGAGTTGTCCGCCAAAGAAGCATCAACTCAAGGATGCCGGCTTTTTCAATGACGGCGTTGATCAGATGTGTCGGGAGCTGGAAAAGCGGAACCGCCCGCGAGCGACTGAGGCGCTCTCCGCAGCGCCGATAGCACTTTCGTGCTGTAGACGCGGGACGCCGCATTGACTTTGACGCAGCACTTTTTCGCCCAAGCCTAAATTTTTTTTTATAATTAGCGGATGTGTTTCTAAATTGTTCTTAACAATTCCTAAGCATAAGACTTTAAACATTTCAAAAAAATTAATTTAGGTCGGAAGATTGATTTTTTCGAGCCAAAATAACCAAATTTTCGGCTTTTCAACCATCTTCGAACTTTAAAAAAGTTTTTTTTACTTTAAATATAGTTAAAACTTGCTAAAAACAATGTAAAAACATTTCGTTTTTTTTTGTGAATTGTTTGCATCATCGAGGATTCTTCGACTACCAACCCCTTAACATTTTTGAGCAGCAGCGCAACGCTACTGATTACGCTATTCACGCTGCGCAAAGATATTGCCATATGAAGTCCGGATTTCAGGGGGTCTGTGGGAATTTCGAAGAAAAATTATTGAAGACGACGAAGAAGAAAGTTGGGACGATTGTCATTCGGTGACACTATCAAAGAAGGGGGGAGTGGGGCCGGGTCACCACTTTTGAACCCATACCCTTTCGCGCGATCCAATTTATTTAACAACAATCTAACAATTAGCAATTTAGTGTTTTTGCTCATTTTTCGTTGGTAGAAATTAAAAAAATTATAATCTTGGAAAACTGTTCGTAAGTTTTTATATCTAAAAATAAATAAAAGAGAGAGAGAGAGAGATAGAGAGAGAGAGAGATATGAGAAAAGTTCTTCTTTCACTAAATGTCACAGTTCACACCTCCATCCTTCAAAACATGTCCTGTTCATATCACGAGAGAAATACATATTTATCCTCAACAACGCAAAATGTAGGAAAACAACTAAAAAAGCGAGATCACAACCCGTAATCGAAAAGCTACAAACAAACTTCGGAAAAATGTATAGCAAAAATAATTCTATTGTTTCGATTTCTTGACCGCGGGCTGTAAGGAGAGCGCCGTCATCCAGGCCGGGACAGCGGGCGCGGAAGTCTAAAAAATAATATGAAATTAACCGGGCAAAACCTTTACCTCCCCAGAAGCTACTCCTGACGTCGGTGGCTCTTCACCGTCATTCTGCGTGCCAAACTCGAATTCGAGAATTCGAAGCAGCATCTGAAAATGGAAGAAAATGAAAATGAAAAGGATTTACCGGCAAATGATACCTTCAGAACGTTGTAGTCCATCGTGCGAATGACAGAATGAGGTAATGACAGAATGGTAACGGACGAAAAACTAAACAGAAAAAGCTAGGGACTTCTGCCTTGGATATCTGCCTTTTCCGTTTTTCGCTCGTAGTGAATTTTCAATGCGCGAATTTCGACATATCAATCCGATTTTCTTTTCTCCAAAAAATATGCCATTTGATTTCCAAAATTTAAAGAGCAGTGAAACAAACGCTACTTTTGTACCCAAAGTTCAAGACTAAAAGGCCAAAACCGACCATCGTTGCGCCGGAATGGAGGTGCATCGTGTAGACGGCGGCTTGCGACGGCTTGAGCACATCAGAAACGGCCGATTGTTGAGATGGTGTTAGCTAAACGCAAGATTTACAAGTTTTTATGGCAAAAAATGAGGCAAGAGATGTGAAGCTGCTTCACACACGAAAAACTCACCAAATTCAGGCCGCTACCCTTGGCATTCATGTCGAGACCGTAGGAGACGCACACGTCCGTGATGACGTCGATGAAGCCGAGCCCGAAGCGCGTCTTTTTCGCGTCGGGCCAATCGGTGATCGGCTCCAGGGCGGCGATGCTAAAAAATTCGCCATTTCGCCGCAAATTGTGTACTCCCAGTCCTCGTAGGTCCGGCAGAAATTTTCCAGATTGTTAAAGGTTTATTGAAGAAAAGAAAAAGAAGAACTAGCAAATATAAACTGATATAAAATCGAAAAATAAGCATGATTATTTAAGCGATGGGGGCCTTTTAGCAGGAGCCTTGGCGTCTTCCTCGAGCATCTCCTGTTCAAGTAGTGGTGGAGCGGCTGATTTGGCGGCCATCGCCAGTTGGGCTTTCGCCCACTCCGTATAAGGCCCGAGGATCTGATTAGCGAGCTTTTGATGTTCGTCTTTTCCCGAAAGCGGATGATCACTTTCTAAGTGATGCGCGAGCTGCGTCGGGTCGACGGGCTTCTGGCATAGTCCGCAGGGAAGCATCTAAATTAATTAGTTGATCTACAGAAAATGCACGCATGGCGGGTCGGAGGATGCTCACGGCTTGAAATTTGAAACAAACCTTTTGCCCGAAAATTAAATTTTCAAATAAAATTTTTATACAGCTTTTATGTTGAGGGTAGTGTAAAAAATTAGGGGGGGGGGTTTCCGCCGCGAATCCTAACGAACCTATGGATGTCCAGCGCCAGAGGTTGCATATACTCGCCGCTCTCGACTTTGTCTGCGCAGATGCGATCATTTGGCGCTCTACCCGCTATCATTTGAAATGGTCCATCTGCATATGGGTGTTGATCGTGCCTCAGGCGCAATTTCCCCGCGGCATAGAAATACCCTAAAACCGTCGTGGGGACTTTGGGATGCGACCACGCCTATCTAGTGCAGAATTTTACGCTGATTCCGAATATCGTTACCGTTTTAGCGGAATAGCCATTTCTCGGAATTTATGAATAATGTAAGCCTAATATCTTAAATTCTTAATAATTATCAGCGATTTGGGAACAAATATGGACAAACGTGCCGAAAAACCGTTAAGGCGACGTACGAACTTGGAGAAATAATGCTTTTAGAAGTAATGACTTTTAGAAGTAATGATGGATAGCCCGCTTGGGCCGGAGATCTCTCTCTATCTATATCTTGCGTTCTCTCTCTCTTTCGCACTCTCTCTGTCGCTCATGCAGTCAGCTACAATGCGTATTTTCTTGGCCTGCGATGTTGGTGCTTGATTGCCGATGCCTTTAAAAAATATCGGTTTATTAGTTATTTTATTTCGTAGAGAGGTGAGATCCGCCTGAGGTCTCAAAGGTCAAAAATATGAACACTGAGGGCGACCACATCCGGCCCAGACGAAGCGATCATCCGGAAACGATTGATGAACAGCAAATCTGAAATGAGTTTGATAACCACGTATTTAGGGGCTAGGATCCACCTCGATGTGCGGCTCGGCATTTGTAGACTTTGCCTGGATGCCCCGTCAGCTTCTGAATTTAAATAATTTTTGTCGCGCGGTTTGTACGGTAGGCCCCCTACGACTCCGTAGGCGCTAAAATGGGTCCCCCGCTAAAATTCCCGCCCCCCCCCCCGCTAACAGAACAGTACCGTGTCTGCTTCACTACCGCACAGTGAAAACACTCACCGGCCATCGTTTCCGTAACAAACGATGCTGCCTTGCCGTCTCTGCGTCGTCATCAGCCATCAACTCGATATCGTCACACGCATGACGGAAGATTGCGTGGAGCTCAAAATAGCAGGCATGTGCCCCAAGGAAAAGTCCCACGCTGTATTTAACCGACTTACAAACAATTGGTCTCAAAATTGTAGCAGAGGTGATCGGACCCTCAATGACAAAAATCCTGATTTACGGCCAAATAGCTACAATTGTTTTGAAGTGATGACCCAAAATCTGCAGGATGTCCCAAAAAATAAACCATCCTGCATTTCGCCGTCATCCAAAATTGGACCAGAGGTGTATCAGACCCTAAATAACCAGAATCCTGACTTATAGCTTCATGCCTACATGAGATTTTTGGTTACGGCAAAAATAAATTTTATTTTGCCATTTTCATAGGGTTCCATGGAATCATACCCCCCTAAACAATAAGTGAAAATGATTCGGGACGTCTTCGTAGCTTGAAGAAACTTTTTCCGGGCTAAAATTAATGAAATAAGCGTCGATTTAAGAGATTTTTACAACGCGAAGTACCCCCAACTCTTCAATCCGCAGCCGGAACTCGATGCAAATCGTTGCAAAGTTCAAAAAGGTAGCTGAAAAAACTGTTTTGGATTGCGGAAAAGCAGTATTTTGGTTTATAACTCGAGAACGACCATATCTATAGGGCTGTGAGTCAGGATTGTTGTTATTTAGGGTTGATACCCCTCTGGTCGAATTTTGGGACCGATTGGATGTAACACGGCGAAATGCCAGATGGTTCGTTTTTTTGGAAACCCTGTTTTCCGTTTTCCGTTTCCTTGGAATTTGACAAGCAATAATCGACTCTCTAGATATGAAGTGAGCAATCAGTCTTATCACGACTAATTTTTCATGACAAAAAATTCGTCCGACCCCCAACTTTTGTATCTCGGCTCCCTGTTGATCTACAGGTGTGTAAGGTATATCAAAATGCTCGCGCGAGCAACACGAACATTTTGGTATACTTTACACCCCTGTAGATGACAAGGGAGCCGAGATACAAAGTTGGGTGCCGGCTGGGGGTATCTGGAGTCTTATCAAAAACGGATCCATTCTACTTTAAACATTGCTCACCTCGGCGCCCACTGCTAGCTGGGGTTCAGGAGCACGGGCGCTGTCCATGTGAAAGTGTCCTACTAGTCCATAGTACCGTCCTGACACTTCCGGGCGTTCTGCGATCGCCTTACAAGGGAACCACGTAAGGTCAAGAGGTGGCGTTTCGGTATGGGACACAGCCTGTTTTGTGCGGATTTTTTTGCCGATTCCGAATCCGTTGCCATTTTTGGCCAAATAGCTCGTTTCGAGCATTTCAAAGCTACACTTTTCCCCAAATTTACGAACTTCAAAGTGATTTATTTTGCCTTTGATTTGATTTCTCAGCACCGAATATTCCCATCGTATTCAGAAAAATTCGCTGGATTGAATAGGCTGCTCAAACCAACATTTTTGAAAATCGAAAAATTGACGATACGCCTGGTATGGGCTCCGAGTGGAACTGGCAAATGGTGGAAAACAGCCCATTTCTCACACCCATAAGTGACCGACTATTGCCAGTCACAAAATAGGCTACTCAAAATTAATTACAAAATCAAAACAACAAAGCTGCGCTTAAAATAACTATAACCCTTTGGCCAAAAATCATTAGCCGCATCAGCTAGGATGGGCCGCATCCCGAAACGTCACCTGGACCTTACGTTGGAAAAATATAATCTTGTTTCTCAGATTTTTGTAATTATTAGATTTTGCTCGAATGATGATGCCTTTGGATTTCAGTTATTTTGCCAACAAAAGCACAAGCAAAACACCCACGTTATGAAAAACGGGACTCTTAAAAGGCTCTGTACAGTTGCCCCAAGTGGTAGTAATTATTGATATTTTCACTGTCTAGGAAAGCGCCTAAAAACCAGGGGTCACCTACTCGAATTAGTGCAGGCATCGATTTAAACGTTATATGGTGAATGATCAATTCGGTGAAATCATTTGCAAAATTCCCGGAGGGTTGCATCATTTCTTCTAGCTGCCCGAGCATGTCGGTGATCACCTCAGGCTTCGGGAATCCCTGAATGGATATACAGGGTTTCCAAATAAAAAACACCCCCTCTACCGCGACGCAGAAGTATTGGATCCGAATGGTAGTTACACCATTCGCAAGCCCTTAAAACGACGATTTTTCAACAATCTTCAAAACCGTTTTTTATTTAAACGCACTATTTTGCAAAGCATTGAAAAAACATTAACGAGGCCCTCTACATCTAATCAACGGCTACTTCCGGTCATTTTGCTTGCAGAAATTGTGGCAATTTAGCTCATAGGCAACCACGCAAAGCCACAAAATTTTACAAAATGGCTTGTAAAATGGCAGGTTTAATTAAAAAAAAAACACATGATTTTGAAGATTGTCGCAAGCTCGCCGTTTCAAGGGCCTTCGAATGGTATAATTATCATTCCGACCCGATACTTCTGCGGCGAGGTAGAGGTTGGCGTTTTTTATTGGGACGCTCTGTCGAATCAGCACGTCATTTAAAACGCAGGCGAGATTTCCCAGCAAAGTGCTTACGTCTGCTTGTCGATCAGCTTCTTCCAGGATACGAAGCGCCTAAACAAATCGATTTCAACAGATTCTGCCCTTCGAGCACGGAAGGCTGTCCGCTGCTAGCACTCATTGAACGTTCGACTTCCTTTCTGATTTCCGAACCCATTTCCAAAAAGTTACTGGATGGACAATTTAAGCATGCCAAGTAAAAAATAGAGGTGTTGGCCCCTACTGACTGACTGGTTCGTTTCGGGTAACCCAAGAATTCCGCTTGGAAATTTCGATCGAAGCAAATACACTTTACCGTAAGTCGAACTTTCAACAAGTCTGCTCGAACCATACCTGATTTAGGTTTAGCCTTTCCGCCTTAGCCTTCAAGTGCTGCTTAAGTTTGATTAAAGTTTTCGGGCAATCGACGAGAACTGTAGCGCCTTGCACGCCAGTGAAGGCTTCAAACAGGCAACCAATCTGAAAATTCCGATTTGGCAAAAATTTTCCGAACGAAAAACGTCTTGCTCACTATGATCTCAAAAACTGTCATTTACCCCTCAAAAAAAATCTATTGTTCATCCCCTAAATGTAATTTTTCCCATGCTGATCCAGATCATTGTCGGTTTAGCAGGTTCGTTCAAGCGCTTTTCCGATTCAAGCTAAATTCGGTTGGTTACGGCTTACGAGCATGGATACCATCCCACAACTAAAATTGTCGATTTGAGTAGCAATGCATGTCAGAATTTCAGAAATAAGAAGCCGCCTTTGGTCGAAAAGGGATGAAAAATTCCCAGAAAGGATCCCCCAGTGATCCAAAAGCTTTTTAGAGCTGTTTTCACAATCTTTTCGTAATTGAAATCACTAAAAACCATAAAACACAATTCACCTACCCCTGTTGATCTGTGGACCATAGCGGAGCCTTGAAACGGCATAGCCATGCTCTCACTGGAATACTGAAAAGATTTCCGGTATCCTTTTGCTGAGTGGATCACGTATTTTTTTATCATTTTCGGTCTATTGATCAAAATATCTGTATGGCTAAGGCTTTTTGCAGTTGAAGGATACGCGAATATGGATTTTTGGCCCATGGATGCTCTATCAATCTTGCCCCGCCTGCGACACGCAACAAGCCATTCAAATGGATCCTTCGCGGCGGCAAAGCGGCGTGCGCGTTCCCTGTAGGAAATGTGGTATAACTGCTGAAATCTGTAAAATGATCGCTTTTGCCGTCCAGTTTCGATACTTTTGGTAGATAGAAAAATGGCTGACTTTCCTACTATCAGCTGATTCTAATAAAATCCGGAAAAAAATGGCAAGCCTTGACATGAGCTTATACGAAAAGGAATACGGTAGTTGCTAGGAACGGTAAAATGTTTGCAAATCAATTACCGTCTGATATGTGGCAGGAAAGCGACACCTGGCGTAGCGGGGTTGGCGGATCCTGGTTAGGAATGGGAAGTAATGGGCGAAACTAACATCCGGGGCGTCCATTTCTCGGCGAAAGCTGAATGCTATAATAAAGTGCGAAATTGTTAAAACGCGTACGAATTCCCTTTTTGAATACGTTTTTTTGTCTTTGCTATCCAGCCCCCAGCTGCTGTGAGTCTCGGACCCCGAACCAGCAACTCCGTATAACCGAATCCCCCATTTCACTACCAGGTTCTCGCCGATTTCCATTTGCGCAGGTCCAAGCCAGACAGAGGAGGATCACTAAAGACTTAAAAATGGGTTATGGGAATTGGGGGCTAACGTTTGTGTAACAATCATCATTGGGTGGTAGTTGGCGAACTGGATAGCGGTGCCGACGCTGTCCTGTATTCGTATCGACAGTTCGGAGACGGTGATCTAAAAACGGGCATCCTCGCCATACACAGATGCTGCCCCGATAAGAGTAACACGGTTAAAACAGGGTTTACAAAGTAACAACCTCCACGCACCTCTGAGCCTCCTACCCTCGCATTTTCGTCGGTTTCCACCACTTTTCCGCAGACATAATAATCGGCGACGCGACCAGGGAATAGGCCTCGGTATTTCAGCCGATCTCTAAAATTAGTCAGTTTGATCGTATAGTTTAAAACGGGAAAAACGAAAACTAGCGTGAGCTAAATCAGAGTTTACTTGCAAACGTAACTAAAACGTAACTGCTTTTTCCGTCGGCTATTTTCTGGATCCCGACAAGTTTGACGCCAACTTGGATTTTAGCAAGATTAATATGGGGCAAAACGTGCTCAGAATACAGAAATTGTGGCCAGAATTTAAAAAATTTGATTGTTTTCCCTGTTAAAACTAGGAAGAGGTGTTGGGGGGGGGATTCGGGTGCGCGAAGAGGGGGCCCGTTGCGGCGCGCGTTAGCGGATTATGGCTTCGTTCCAATTCGTTGATCCATCAGGTTAACAGAAATACCTTCTCATTTTAATATCGGTGGGATTCTGAGGGGCCCCTAAAAGATTTATGGTTTAACCAGCGCCCAAAACCCGCTTCGCGGGCCTTGGGCGCTGGAATTGGGCCTTTGCATGAAAAATTTGACTCTCCGATAGCTCCCCTCCCCCAACCAAACTCGCGAGTGCAACTGGCAAGAATGAGGAAATTTGTATTTTTCCGCATTATGCAAATTAGCCCTCCCGGACCCCCAAAAATGAATAAAACCGGCTCTAACTTTGTAAACTTGTATTTTATCGAAATTCTGAGAACGCCATTGGAAAGAGGAGGGTGGATTCCCCCGGGTGAAGCAGAATTAGGGCATTTTATGCACGGGAAGGCCCTCAAATCGGGCCTCGAAAGTGACATCCACACACACACACACACACACACACATACGCGCCAAAATTATATAAGGTAGGAAAATTGGGCTTAAACAATCGGTTTCAGCTGATCAATATGTAAACAAAATGCCTGACAACTAAAGCGGAGGGCTCCAACTGAGAGCGTCAAACGGCAAATTTCCAGTATTTAAAAAGCAACAGCGCTTTTTTTGATCTCATTTGACCGAAACTCTAGGAGTAATGGGTCATCAACTTTTCCTTTTCACTTAAAATTTTCATCAGCATAGCAACCTACCGAAGTTGCCGATTGGTACGCCAAAGAAGCAACAGCTCGAGGATGCCAGCTTTTCTATCACCGCGTCGATCAGATCGGCCGGAAGCTCGATAAGCGGCAACGTCTCAGCGCGAACGAGGCGCCCTCCACGGCGCTGATAGCGCTTTTGTGGTGCAAGTGTTCGACGCTTCATGGGTCCTGAATAGAACATTGAGGCGATCTGAAGTACTCAGATCCTCGGGTCCACCCGAAATCCGGTCTGCATCTGCTCGCGAAATCGATCGGAATTCCAGTAGCGGACGCGACCGGATTCCACGTGGAAATCGACCGGATTGCGGGTGGATGCGCGGTAAATCAGTTGGAAATCGATCGGATCCGCCCGGTTTCCACTCGATTTCCATTTGCCGCGTCGCGTGCGGCACGCGTTGCGTCGTGTTTCCACTCGATTCCCCATGTTTCCACTCGTTTCCAATCCAGCCGATTTCCATGCGTTCCACCCCAAATCCAGGTGGAATACAACCGGATTTTGGGTGGGCCCGAAGAGCTGAGTAAGGGACCATCACTAATTGAGTAATCGACTATCAGGTTGAAAGAAAAATCTATTGGCGAGTTTTTAGGTCCGCTCCCCAGTGCAAAATGCCATTTTGAAGCCCCCCAAGCCTTGGCGAAATTTGAAACGCCCGTAATTTTTCTGGTTCTGTCTGATTTTGCTGATCTCAAGATCTAGCGATAATTCTCTCCAGTCGTGCCATTACTCGGTCCTAATCAACATAGTTGAAAGCAAATTTCCGAATTAAACTCCAGAAATCCATTATACACATATTTCATTATAGTTCAATGCGGTAGGATAAAAGCTGTGCCACAAACGCGGCAAAGAAAAGAATAACAACAATCTGAATTAAATTAGCGGATAGCCATTGACTGGCTGACACGATCAAAGGGGGTAGTTACGGCATGCAAATGGGTCGACACGATTGTTTTGAATGCATGCGCCTTCGCGGGGAAGAAATAGGGTAGGCACACGATCGGATTGAACCTCTTCACGATTTTAAATGCACGGCAAATGCCGTAATATAACACTACCCACGAATGGTAGCATGGCTAGCTTTCGTCTGGGTGTGCTACCCCTTAATTGGGTAACACTCTTTTTTTCTAGCATTCTGGGTTTTAATAAGTTAAATTCTATATCGAAGTTCTTTCGCTATGAAATGTTTGAGAGCAGCATTGAGGCTTTTTTATACGATCTTCAGCCCCTGACGCTCGAAAATACTACTTTAGAAAGACCGGAAATGTCGTTTTAGCGGAGTTGCGCTAATGTCGCTTGTATTGTCGTTTTCGCGAATGATATTGTCACTTGCGGCAACGTCCTAGTCGGCCTGGTTCGGGGGTAAATGTGTTCGGAAGGTAGTTCTGGAGTAATGGCGACAGTTCTCACTTTATTTGTCAAATGTCATATATATGAATGCTATGTTGAATGTAGCGTCTAGATGAGCCAACGATCACGAAGTGATTGACGAGTAACAGCGCTGAAATGCCGTTTGATTAATATCACTTTATCGCTGATAGTTATTACGCTATTTCCCCGACCGCCCGAGTTTTGTTATTTATCCTATACCAGATGGTTCCAGTCGCTTCGCGACTGTAACCATCTGGCCTTCGGGCTATCCTTCATGTAATACACCATCACATCCATCCCTAGGCTCTATCAATACCGACGCTAATGGCTACAAATGCCTCCCCTGGCCGAAATCCCCTTAAAAAACTACCTAAATACCTTCCTGATGGCTTTAGATACCCCCATAGCTGAAATCCCAGTCAAAAACTACTTGGATACCATCTCGAAGGCTTTAGATACTTTAAGTGATTTAAATAATGAATTAACATAAATAAAAAGTATTAAAAGGTATTAAAATAACTCAAAAAAAGCGAACTGGGCGTGGGAAGGGGCGTGGCCTCCCGAGAGAGGCCTCCACTCGTTTTATTAAGGCTCCGCTTTCAAAGTTAATTTTAATAATTTGAACTAAAACTTTTCCGTAATTTTTTTATCAGTTTGGGGTTTCTGACGGCGCTCTATCCGAATCCGAAGAGACCTAAGCTCTAGCTCCTTTCCCCTTCGAGTTGAATCCGGCTTCGGACAGACAGACAGACGGACGGACGCGTCAAGAAAATTGTTATAGTTGATCCTTTATCCTATCATAATCTAACCTCTAGATGCCGTATGACATCGATAGATTTTTCCGGATACTGGGCGGTTCTGAAATCGAAAAAAACAATCATTATGGAAGACGACATTGGTCCGATGAGCCAAGCCCGTCTAGACGTCTGGCTGCGCTCAAGCACCTGTGCCTCAGGTGTGCCCTACAGAATCCACAGAAAACCCTACAGAATCGCTAAATTTTGGCAAAAAAGTTAAGACACAAACCGGCCAGCATCTCTTAAACAGCTTTTTGATTTTTCGTGCGCCTGGCGAGACATCCGGCACAGTTTCAACGTAGTCGCATGCATGACACAACATTTCAAACAGCTGAAAGTGGACATTTTGCTTCTCATTATGAGAACCAGCGGGCTAGGAGCCGCTTCGCGACTCTCCCCCGCTGGACCCCGTCTAGGCCCTATGAATCGAGCGCCCTTACACATAAAGTTACACTGAAGAAAGAAAAACACATCTCCCATGCAAACCTCTTTGTATTCGCATGCGGCGCAAGCTTAAATTGCTAGTGTCGTTATTAGGCCTGCGGCGCAGCGGCGCCGGCTCGAGCGGTTTGTTTCGAGATAAAGCCTGTCGCAAGCTTGAGCGGTAACCCCCTTATTTAGCCTGCGGCGCTAGCTTCAATGATTGGTTTTATTCGTTAGCCTGCGGCGCTAGCTTGAGCGG